CTACAAGCAAATAACCTGCTTTAAATAAATACAGAGAGGCTTCCAACGCTGCACCCTCTCACCTCAGTGTTAACAGAGAATTAAGGATGCAAAGTTGAGCATTAGAAAGTTAGGAGACAAATCCTACAGCCTTTGCATCTTCGGTTTGGATCCCACCCCTAGAAATCCCAACTGTGGGGACAGTCCTACCCCAGGAGCACTGGGACAGAAGTGCTCTCAGGATGTCATGGATGTACAGCGAAGGCTGCCTGCAGGCTCCCTGCCCTTCTCCCAGAGGAAAAGGGAAAACAACAGATATTTAGGGGGAAAAATTCTAATGTTTGGCAAAATGCATTAAAGCTCAAAAATAACCTGAATTTGGGGAACCAAACCACTTTAAATGACTACAGAAAGTCAGGTATCATAACCCAAAGTCCCTGCATTGCCAATTACTCATCATTAGGCAGCAAGACTCACTTTCAAAAGGGATTTGTGGTCTTTTTAGGACACCAGACTCTCACAAGCACTACAGCCCAGAACGTGGACACCTTTCCCTTGCAAATCTGCCTCTTTCAATGGGGCATGTGGGTCCCTATGGAAAAAAACACTGCTGCACCCCATGGTGACACCATTGCTCTAAAAACATCTAATGGCCCACAGGCTGGATGTGACGCACGGACCTGTGGCCAAGGGTGGTTTTTCTTTCACACTAACAGGTTTTCAAGCCCAGCTTAATCTTTCATGAGCATTATCCTCAAGTCTCCATTCAGATTTCTGAAAGGCTGATTTTCCAACTCAGACATCCAATTTTCTGTATTGACCCACTGTCATCCACAGAGCTCCATCTCAAAGCTTTATCATATCCCAGCCTGCAGAAATCTCTATTTGTAGGGACTCCAATGGCAAACAGCTTCTCTGTCTCATATGGTCTTTGAACCAGACTCTGCCATTCTCATTTTAGATCTTACAGGTCCTGTGCTATCTAACAAGGAGAGCCTAGGAACTTGTAAACCTGTAAGAGCAACCTCACTACCTCAAGCTATCCCACTGACATCCCAACCCAAGCACTCTCTGGCACTATTTCTCCTGCTGTGGTTGTCCAGCAGATATCAAAATCAACATCCAAAACATCAGCAGATGTAGAAAATCCACGGGAGGGATTAT